GTGTCGACATCAAAGGCATTTGTCGACCACCCAGGTAAACCTCATTCCAGGAGGCATACCTGGGTGGTCGACAAATGCCTTTGATGTTGACACCCATGCGTCCAGACTACTGCGCTGAGCCGACAAACAGCTGATCGGCTCAGCGCGGCAGCCATGTAAATTTAAATGAAGCGGCGATTCTTTAAATCGCCGCTTCATTTTCCTATGCCTGGTAGCCTCATCTACATGCCTCTGTCGCCAGAGGCATGTAGTCTAGACATAGCCTACCTCAACTAGTGTCCTAACCCAATATCCATGCTTTTGTCCATGACAAAAATAAATTACATGGCATGAGTTTGTTAAAGACAGATACTAATAAATATTTCAGCAGTTAGGCTATTGGAATGTTTGTTTGTTTTGTGCATAAGCAAACCAAAGTATACCAAGTTATTTTAAGGCATTTTTTTAGATTTTGAAGAAGAGTACATTATGCCTGCATGAATGCCCAAACTTTTGCCCATAAAATCCTTTTAGTTGAGCCACAGGGATAAAAGTTTCATCCAAAGTCCACTTCAGTCAATGTAAAGACTCCTTTAGGGACCAAGAGCTTTGGATCAGGCTATAACTGGGAAAAAGAGACAAGTGGGAAAATGGGGGAAGAGGAGAAGGAGAGTGGGTCATGACAGTATTTTACAAAGTGGTCTGTATAATAAAAAAGTTCTAGAACCCTCTAAGTGAATGGTAAAGCTTATTTTGACCTAGGGGATAGGGAGGTGGAGAATGAGACACAGAGATGCTCTCTAAGCACATTTCAGCATAACAATTCTTGAGACTGTGTCTTCAGTTCATTTCTCTCACCTCCCAAGATAAGCATGCCAAGTAGCAGATAATTTTGGAATACTTATAATTGTGCACATTGTCAAGTAAGTGAAAAATACTGTGAACATGTTTATTTCTCTTGGAGCACCCTGGACTACAGGTTGTTTGCTTACTATTGCTAACAGTAACTTGAAGAGTACTTGTAACTGACAGAAATTAGAAAGTATCTCCCACCACACTGAACTCAGCTGGGTTACTTCGTGCAATTTGATTTAACTCTGGTTACTGTGATTTTCCCTGTTTCCCTTGTAATAATTTGGTGAGTCTTTCACATGGAGAAAAAAACCCCCAAAATTATACTTTCCTATTCTTGATTTTTAAAAAGTCAAGGGGCAGATTACAAAAATAAATAAATAAATAATAATTCTGGGTGGCTCTTACTACATTTAAAAGGCAGAGGTACAGTGGGGATAGAGAGCACCTCCTCCCCCCCCCCCCCCTTATCAACCAGTCGATGGAAATTAGCTGATTAATCAAAATTTAACATCCCTAGTTCAAAAGGTTAAATTTGCTTTTATGAGCTGAACACCGTGTCAGAGAGCGCCACAGGCTGGCCAATGGCACCATCAAGCAGTAGAAATTGAGGTCAGTCTCTTATCTGCCATTGCCAAAGATAATGTTCTAATGAGCCTGAGCTTCAAAAGGCTGTGCACACCACCTGTCCGAGACTGGCAGCCTAAGCAGAATCCTCAAAGCTATCCATGCATTAGAAAAAGCATCCTTCAGCGCTGCATCATAAATGAACTGGAAAACCTGGAATGGAGAGTGTTTCTCGTATAGCAAAATGTTATCGATGTTGCCCAATTCAACACAGAAGTGTTTATCATTGACATCCAAAGATTTCTCAGGTGTCAGCATCTATACATTTGTTCCAAAGTATTTTCCTGTCCTTCAGCAGCTTACTGAGGTCTCTCTCTCTCTCTCCCTCTCCCCCCCAAGTCTTTTCAAGGTGCTATATTTGTTCAACCCCTTCTTCCAGAGGACACTCAAGTGGCATCAACAAAACAAGTCCCTCTTGAATTTTTATTCTGAGCTTGTCATTGTCTCATATCCAAACTGTGTCTTCTTCTGATGAATACAAATTCCCTTGAAGACAGGCTCAACTCCTAAGTTTTCCACCATTTCCTTGGCAGTGACAGCATTGTCAAATCCATTGTCTCTATAAATCACAATGAAATCAAGACAGTTACTCAAAGTAGTGGTGATTGCAATGTCCATTGACTGGGTTTGTACGGTCCTGCTTACAACTTTTGGAATGGGATATTATGCCAAACCACAACTGAGACCAGAAATTTGAAGTCAGTGATCTGTTTTGTCAAGCATTGCACCTTGTGTCTGATTCTGGCTTTGGCTTTACTCAACTGTGTCAGTTCCATCAGGGAATCATAAACCTCAGTCACTTGGTATCTCACCAGCTTTATGCTATCAAAGTAGCTCTCCCAGCAAGAGTCACATAGCAGCTTCACCCCCAGATTCGTAACTGTGTCAGTGAGGATTTTTCACCTGATAGCTGATGCTAAAAACAGGATATATATCTTTTGCAGTACAGTAAGTCCCCTGGTTACGTCAATCCGACCTAAGTCGGACCCCTAGTTACAAACGGGGGAGAAGGGGGGGGCAGCTAGTGCGGGGTGCCTCCCCCACTGTCGCTACCTCCGGTGGCGCGGGGGGTGCTTCCCCCCAGCAGACCAGGGAGACGCGGAGCGGCTTTTCTCGCCGCGG